CTGCACTCCAGTCTGGGCGACAGAGTGAGACTCCAACTCAAAAAAAAAAAAAAACACACACACAAAAACCTCTGTGATAAAGAGAAATCCTGAGAAGTGACTGAGCTGTTGTCTCAAGCAAGGTGATAAAATGGGGGCTGACAGTCCGATCTTTTACACCTGGGTAAGAATCATAGCTCCACCAGAGCGTTAACACCGCGGAGTTCAGCTCAGGGCAAATTTCTGCAATTCAAACAAACTTCCCCATCCTGCGGGCTACTACAAAGAAAAGTTTCCAACTTTCTTCTGGTCACTCAAGAATCAGAGTGTTTAAATTTTTGAGAGGAAGACAAAGACAAACAATGCAGAAATGTCCATTCTTCAGGCTGCAGAATAATCCAAGTTTCTGAGCAACTAAATGGTCAAGGGCGAGATCAGTGCCAAATTGGGGGGCACACCAAGACTCTCAGAGCTCAGAGGCCCACGGGTACATCGAGTCCGGCAGCTGCCCGCGCGCGGAACGCCACGTCCAGAAGTGCCGGGTGCCTCCGGGTGGCAGAAAACACTGCAGAACCTACCTGAGTACCTGCCTTCCTCCCATCTCGAGCTGCCGCTCCACTAGTCTGCAAGTCAGGGGTCAGCAGCTGCTCTGGAGGAAGCTTTCCCAGAGCACGGCCCTGCTTGCTCGTGCACTGCAGCCTGCACTGCTTTTGCACCAGCCAGCAGAGCTGAGTGGTGAAGCATCTGCTGTCTCTGGTCCTTTACAGAACAAGATGGCTGACTCTGCTCAATAAGAAGACAAGAACTCTGCTTCTCAAGCTTCTTACATAGAAAAATAGAAAAGATTTTTCTCCATATAAGTGATGGCTGCCAGGCTCGGTGGCTCAGCCTGTAATCCCAGCACTCTGGAAGGCTGAAGCCAGTGGACTGCCTGAGCCTGCGGGCTCGAGACCAGCCCGGGTCAACTTGGTGAGACATCGTCTCTACAGTAACTCAAAAATTAGCCAGGCGTGGTAGTGCGCACGCCATAGAAGGCTGAGGCGGGAGGATCACTGGAGCCCAGCAGGTCAAGGCTGTGGTGACTGCACTCTAGTCTGGGTGACAGAGTGAGACTCCAACTCAAAAAAAAAAAAGTGATGCCAAATAATTTGCTATTAAGACTTCTGTGGGAACAGTAGAACTTTCACTTTAGGGCTTAGCTAAGAGATGACAGAAGTTCAAGTTTTAACCAGAAGTGAGAAGCAGAAGAGGACAAGCAGTCTAGAACCAAGGAACAACTTAGGGCTTTCATCCTTATGTGTCTGCAGGACAGATGTGACTGTGCAAGAGCAAATAAAGCTAGAGACAAACCTTAGTAGATCATAAGAAATATTTTTAAAATTCCTAAAAATATATAAAAACATCCAGGAAATGTTAAGCATACAAAGAACTTAATCATTCCTCTGTTCTGCAGTGTCTCCTGAAGAGGAGGAATGAAATGGCCATGAGCCCCTACTGTGTGTCAAGTGGTGATGCCATCGGCAGAAGTAAGAGCTCACTGATACCTTTACAAGTTCTGAGGCAGAGTCTAGGGCAGATAACTGAAGCCGCCACAGTTATTTTAAATCAGCACGTCAACTTTCCCTTCCCCCACCAGGGCTACCACGTGGACTGATTTGAGGTCCCTCTCCTGTCCACTCCCCAGGGAGGCAGCAGTGCCCAGCGCTCCGGGGAAGCACACAGGGCAACCCTCAGGAAAGCCTGGAGCACCCCTCACTGCCCTCCTCCCACTTCAGCCCCAATTCAGTCATTGGCTTGCCTTCTCGCCCAGTACCATCTCCAAACTCTCTACAGTGTCCGCGACAGGCTCACACATGCGCTTCTCTTGTCAGGAGGCAGCATCTCCCCTGCCCTGCCGGCCACACTCACAGACCCGTCAGCCCTGCCTCTCCCCACCACACGGTTCTCAGGGGAGCAGAACAGGAAGAGCTGTTACGGCAGCTCTGGGCGTGCCACCAGCAGTTGATATGACAGGAAACTGTATTTGACAGGTATCTGATCTGTCAAGGCGAATTCAGCATACAAGTTATTGACTTCCATGCTTACCGCTTCATGTCAGGACAATAGACAAGATTTTCTTTTGGCTTTAGAGTCAAATGAATTTTAACAAAGTCTCTGTCAATAGTCTGTCAAGAATACAGACACCTGAAGACACAGAGGTTATAGAATATTTCCAACTACTGACTTCCTAAATTTTAGAAAGTGTAAAACAAGGATGGTGTTATCTCCTAAACTGCATGGAAAATGTGGGTCCACCAAGCCACGATGCCTCAGCTGCTCTGTGGTTAGCAGTACAAATGTAACCTTAAAGGACATCAAGGGCTGTGAAGACACTGAAAATGTGATGCCCCAGTCCAACATGTCCTGGGTCAAGCTCTTGGTTCTAGGTGCCACAGCTTTGAGAAAATGTGTTCCAGAATTAAGAACTGGCAGAGGGCCACCAATTAAATTCATACGGTTAGAGTAACGGCTTAGGGGAGGTAGCCAGCAAGAAGTGTCAGCTTTCTTGGCTTCAGCAAAAGCCTGTTGTGCAAAAGTGGTTTCCAATCTCTATAGATCCCTGGGAAATAGTGTGAGATTAAAATTCCTGAGCTTTCCAGTCAAGCACTAATGTGTGTCTGCCTGAGCACATGATTCTGCTACAGAGAGCCCAAGATCATCCAAACCAGGAAATTTTAAAGATCACACAACTGGATTTTTTTATGCTGAGCAGAACAAAGTAATGCTCAATCATATGCACATCGCAGGGCAGAAAACTAAAAAACAAATTTCAGGAGGTGTGGCTTAACTCCAGTCCTCGCTGACAAGGAGTCGACTACTTCAGCACTATGGGTTTGAGTTCCATTTGCCGTGGCAATTGAGGTTTACCTTATTCACTCTAAAGTTTTAAAGCTACATAGTGCTATTTCTGGGTATCAGAGCTATAGACAGATACTTTCATAAAGCAAAATCCTTGTCCCTATTTCTGTCCTGGTATTCCCGTCGTGTTCCATTTTTTTCCAGTTTGCAAGCTCTCGCTCTACGGAGCTCGCACTGGAAGGAAATGAAGCCTACGTCCCATGAGTACGGATGTGGGGTGCAGCTGGGCCTTCACACCATGTCTGAGGTGGATGCTCCAGGTCTAGGGAACAGCACCCCAGCTCTCGACACTGAAGCTACAGCACAGGTGGGCGCTGCGCGTGAGCGCTTCCTGCGCGAGGGCAGGCTGAAGACAAAGGCGACGGGCACCTGACTTCCCTGTGATTCTCCTCAAGGCTTATATTAATGTGAACTTGAAACAGTCAGATAGCCAGTCACATACGAAGTCAAAAGGGAGGTGGTTGCAAACCCTCTCTACTCTAGGCTTCCCCTTAGTGTTAGAACAACGATAAAAAAGCTGGTCCTAAACCCGCCTACACAGTGTCCACATTAATTTCCTAAATTCCTGGCTTCCAAGTAATGCATGGAAAAGTGCATTTTCTCTGACAGGCATTCCCAATTCCGAAAAGGGAAACAGCACTCAAAAGGCTGCTGACGGCCAGAGGGCCTTGCTATGACGTCACTAGGAATAATTAGAACCGCTAGGTGGAGCCCAGAGGTTGAAGAAAACTGCAGGGAGAGCAATTCCCTTGTTTCAGGAATTTGCAACCTCAATAAAATTATAGAAAGATAAAGATCAGACACCCTCATACGCAGTGTGAGTAAGCTCTTCCAGTTGGACGGAAAATACAGTTATTTTTTTCACAGAGTTGAAGTCAAATCTAGGTACAGCTTTTTTTTTTTTGCCCACAAGTAAAGAACACACTGAATCCAACATATTCCAGCTGACATGGATACCAGGACGGACTGCTGAAGAGTGCTGGGCATTCCAGTTACAGGCCCTTAGAGCTCAGTTGTCAGTAAACACTTCTGCTTCAAGACGGCTTCTTCCACCAAAGTGGGAGCAGAGCTGAAAAAGAAGAATGAGCGGGTTCAATGGAACCATTAGAATGGGGGTAGTGGGAGGACATTCATTACTCCACTACTGGAGCATGTTGAGAACAGACCTAAATGGCTATGAAGCAACACATAACCCAGCAATGAGGTATTCCACAGAAGAGGATTTTCTAGATAAATACTGCTTATTTCATTCTGAAGTAAAATGTAAAGACAGCACAATTTTCCCTACTTCCTTGAAAAAAATATGCCAAACACACATTTGATTGTTCCTTATTGAGTTGGGGTTAGCATGACTATCAAGAACAGGACTGGTTGGGTGTGGTGGCTCACACCTGTAATCTCAGCATTTTAGAAGGCCGAGGCAGGAGAGCTGCTTGAGTCCAGAAACTGGAGACCAGTCTAAGCAACCTAGCGAGACCTCGTCTCTACAAAAAAAATTTAAAGCTTAGCCAGGCGTGGGGGCACAGGTCTGTTGTACCAGATACTCAGGAGGCTGAGCAGGTGCTTGAGCTTAGGTGAGCCGTGGTGAGGCATGATCGCACTCCTGCACGCCAGCCTGTGTGACAGACCTTGACTGAAGGAAAAAAAAGAACTGTACCGTGCTGAGCACAAGAGCCAAACGCTCAGGAGATATCAAAGGGAGCAGGCTGTTTTGTGCCTCTTTGCTCAGTCCCAAGCGGCTGTGGCTGTGTCCCTCCACCACTTATTCGACTTGTTAGAGCTCTGTGAAAAATGAAAAGTCATGGATGCTGCATGAAGGCCCATGAGTCTCAGCAGAACCTGGATCCTGCCAACAGCCCTGGGTGATGACCCTTCTCTGATCGAGCCTTCAGAGGGTAACTTGGCCCTGGCCTATACCTGATGGCAGCCTGAGAGAGACCCTGAAGCAGAGGACTCACCTCAGCCGTGGCCAAACTCCTGACCCACAGAACATGAGATGATAAATGTGTGTTGTTTTAAGCTGCTTTATAAATCTGTGGTAATCTGGTACACAGAAACAGATAGCTAATACAACAATGTTTGTGTGATTATATTGCTATATTGCCGTTATTAATTTTCACTGCTGTATTCTAGTAACTACTTAACTGTCAACGGGCATTTGGAGGTTTTCAGATTGGACCATGAATACAGCCACTACAAACATTTTTGTACATGATCATATATTCATATTTCCATTGTGTATGTATAAATAGAATCACTGCATCACTGCATATGTACAGCTTTAGCAGATATTACCAAACTATATCCAATGTGGTTATTCCAATTTGGAGTTCCAGTTGCCCCATATCTTCACTAATACTTGGTACTATGTGATTTTTTCATTTTAGCCATTTTGGTGGTATGGAATATTATCACATGGTGGTTTGAATTTGTGTTTCACAATGACTAGTCAAGGTATGTAACATCTTGAATGCTTACTGGTCATTTGGAAATCTTCTTGTGAACTGCCTATTCAAGTCTTGTGCCCATTTTTCTGTTGTGCTGTTTTTATCTTACTGATTTGGAAGAGCTCTTTATGTAGTTCTGGATGAGTATACTCTTTGTCATACAGAAAAGGATGGAGACGGGGGTGGGAGGAAGCACAAATGTTTTCTCCCATTCTGTGGCTTCTCCTTCCATGCTTTTGAAGTTATCTTTCAATGAGTGAATTTTTTTATATAATCCAAATTATCAATTTTCCCCTATAAGGCTAAAGCTTCATTTTATGCTGTTTAAAAAATATGCATTTGGCTGGGCTCGGTGTCTCAGCCTGTAATCCTGTGCTTTGGGAGGCCGAGGTGAGTGGATTGCCTGAGCCCGCAGGTTTGAGACCTCCCTGGGCAACTTGGTTGAGACTTCATCTCTATAATAAAACAAAAAATTAGCCAGGTGTGGTAGCGCACGCCTGTAGTTCCAGCTACTCGGAAGGCTGAGGTGGAAGGATCGCCGGAGCCCAGCAGGTTGAGGCTGCGGTGGCCGGGAGCCAGGAGCGGCCACTGCACTCCAGTCTGGGTGACAGAGTGAGACTCCAACTCAAAAAAATAAAATAAAATAAAAATAAAAATAAAAAATATGCCTTCTAAAGTCACAAGGATATTTGCTTATATTTTCTTCTAAAAGCTTTATTATTTGACATTTCACACTTAGATCTGCAATCCCTCCAGAATGGATTTTGCAAATGGTATGAAGTTGGGTCAAGATTAATTTTTTTCCCACATGGACAATTAACTTGTCCAGGTATTTTACTAAAAAACTATTCTTACCTCAAAGCATTGCACCACCACCTTTTTCATATGAGTTTGCTTCTGGATTCTATTGTTCCACTGATTTCTTCTTTTTGAGTCAGGGTCTCACTCTGTGAGGCTGGAGTGCAATGGCACAATCAAGGCTCACTGCAGCCTCAATCTTCTGGGTTCTACCTCAGTCTCCCAAGCAGCTAGGACTACAGGCATACACCATCATGTCCAACTAACTTTTTCATTTTTCAGAGACGACGTCTTGCTATGTTGCCTAGGCTGCTCTCGAATCCCTTAACTCAAGTCATCCTCCTGCCTGGGTCTCCCAAAGTGCTGGGATTACACGCATGAGTCACCACACCTGGCCTAAAGTGCTATTTGACTTAGATGTAAGCTTTCCAAAGGCAGGTCCCTGTCTGTCTTATTCACTGCTATGTTCAGTGCCAAATACAATCAATGCTTGGTATGTCACAAACACTCAATAAGTGTTTAATGAGTGAACAACGGTATGATTTTAGGACTGTGGAGATAAGAGAACAATGCCTAAACTAAACTAATGAGAAAAGCATGTGCTTCAGCTGACCCACATTCTCAATACCAGGACGACAGGAGAAATGGCAGATAAAATCAGAAAAAAGGTCTGAGGTGAGAGTGAAGGCAATTACAAATCTGTTTCAAAACAGGTGCACTTATGGTCCTACCAGTCAAAGTGAAAGAACTAGATGCTGAACCAAAGCTCTTTTGAGCCCAGTTTCTGTTTGTGGCGAGCGATACATTGAAATGAGCTCCTAAATGGTTTCAGTGAAAGCCACCTTAGGGCCTTCCATCAGGAATCTCCTACCTCGTTTTTATTTTTTATTTTATTTATTTATTTTTTTGGGATGTCTTGCTACATTGCTCCCACTGGCCTCAAACTCCTGGTTTCAAGCAGTCCTCCCCCTCTGCCGCCATGTAGCTGGACCACAGGCGTAAGCTGGCATAGCCAGCTCTACCACCCCTTTACCCTGAGCCTCTCCACCTGTATTGACGGGCACTGCCAGTCACCACTATCACAGCAGGCACAATCATAGTAGCAAAGCATGAAAGGAAACGCTACAAACCCATTTTTAATGTAGAAATTTAAAGATAAGCCTGTTACCATCTTTGTCCAATAAAGGCTTCGTAAAGAAACGCTAATATGGCTTATTTCATAATTTATTAAAAATTGTTAATGACAAGAAAAAATCACTACACCAAATAATAAAAAGATTTGTCTAAGTTCAATTAAAGAATTGACATTGCTGCTTTAAATATAGCAAATTGTATTATTATTTTTTCCTAATAGATACCTAAGAATTGCAATTGAGAAATCATTTCCTCACCTGGTCACAGCATCTACCAAGAATGGTGCTGGGGGAGAGATCAGTGAGATTCCGTCTTGATTCCCGTGCCCCTCCTTCCCTGCCAAAAGCGTTTCATATCCTGCAAGTCCATTAGATATGGCACCATTCTGCTGTGGAAGACACACAACACATCTGAGAACAAAGGAGACAACACCTACCCAGTCAGAACTTGAGCTCCAGATCAAGCTTCACTAATGACCATGGCAGTAGGGAAGCTTTTTTTTAAGTCGGAGTTCCACTCTGTTGCCCAGGCTGGAGTGCAGTGGCATGCTCACAGCCACCACAGCCTCAACCTGCTGGGCTCAGGTGATCCTTCCACCTCAGCCTTCCAAGTATCTGGAACTACAGGCACACATCACCACGCCTGACCGGTTTTTTGATTTATTGTAAAGATGAGGTCTCACCAAGTTGCCCAGGCTGGTCTCGAACTCTGGGCTTAGGCAATCCTCTCACCTCAGCCTCCCAAAGTGCTGGGATTATAGGCGTGAGCCACCATGTCCAGCTGGGAAGATGTTTTTGATGAACATCATTGTTTCATCTTTTTGTTTTCTTAACCATCCTTCACATCAGATTTTTATTTTTGCTTTTTGTCAGCACCCCTAAACTTTTACAAACAGAAAGGTTAAGCTACTAGTTTGAAGCCACTAGGTTTGGTTAACAGAGCTTTGATAATAACCACCATGTTTGCAAGAAAAAACAAGAACCTGGTGATCCTTTAGGCCTTATCCTGAGAGGGTAACCCAGAAGAAAAGTCATAAATATCATGAACTTACTGGGACAATCCACCGGGGTGTGATCATGGATGCTGAAGACATCTAAAATAAATTTTATATATGTATTTACTTCTAGAAAAGACTTATTTATTGTCATAATCATACTCATAATTCTTCTGTTATAAAATGCATTGCAGGCAGGCAATGGTCCTCCTTCAGTTGACACGAACTTCTAAATCTAAGACCCTTTTCTACGTTACAACAAGATGGTATACCTCACCACTTAAGAAATTCAAATTTTGAGAATCCCCTAATCTAAAGATTTACTATTCGAGAATGCTATTGCTGCTCACTTAATGAGACTTCTCCCTACTCCACACTCAGCATTTAGTTTAACATTTTATTTTCTGAAATTTCAGTTAATTACAAGTAATCATAGCCTTCTTGGTAGCACTCTGAACAAAGGATTGTGACTAATCCAAATGAATAGCACAAAGAAAGTACACAGAAAAAAAATCTGTTTATACACAGGTCATTCTCTAATTATCGCGTATGCACAAAGAAAGCAGCAATAAAAACACCCATGTTGCTCCTTCTAATTCACAAGGCCTTTGTTACATTCTTTTTAAATGTTTAGCTTCCTAGATCTTGCCTCCATGTGTAGAATTACATCTAGTGAAGCCCACCATTTTTATGGTAACTGACTACTCCATGCACTGGTTGCCTTAGATACTCACAAGAAAAAAATTAATATAAGGCCGCGTCTTAATATGTTAGATAACCACCAAAAGAATTAAAATACAAAGTATGACTTTCTCACTAATATTTTTAAATGAACATTAACATCAGGAGAGAGGGAGAGAATGGTAAAACAGTAAACGAAAAATGGTCTGACAGAATTTTCCAGACTTGTTTATGGATCTAAGCTGGTAGTTCCCAAAGGACGGTTTCCAGACCACATCTGCATCACCTGGGAACATGTTAGAAATACAACTTTTCAGGTTCCACCCAAGACACACTAAAATTAAAAACTTGAAGGCGGGGGTTCAGCAATCTATATTTTAATACACCCTCCAGTGATTCTGGATATTCCCAAATTTGAGAGTTAACGATCTGTATTTTCAAGCCCTCAGGACGACATCTAATTTCTCTAACAATTCTTGTCATATTGCTCATAAAGCACTAAATTAGTCAGTTATATATCTGTTACCCCCAACTAGACTTAAATTCTTGGAGGGAAGGAACTGTTTCTTACTTGTACTGTTGCCACAGTATAGTTGGCCCTCCATATCCATGGATTCTGTATCTGTGGATTCATCAACCGTGGATCAAAAGTATTTGGGGGAAAAAAATGGATGGCTGTTGTCTTACTGAACACATACAGACTTTTTTCCTTGTCATTATTCCCTAGGCAATACAGTGTAACAACTACTTACACAGCATTTAAAGTATATAGGAGGATGTGTGTAGGTCATACGAGTATGCAAATACTGAAAGGTGCAGACCACAGTCAGAAGGGCATCCCCAAGAAGGCTCTGCCTCCCAAAGACAACAAAGGCCGTAAATTCCTGCCCCTCCGTGTGCGCGCGAAACTTAAACTCATGTACAAACATTATCTCCCTATAGAAATGCTATCTCATAGTCTCCTCCAATAAGACTCAGACACGGCACTGGCCTGCCCCTGCAAGGTTCATAAATATACCTTTCTCCCTGCATAGCTCTCTCTCTCTCTTATTCCCTCTCTCTGTCCCGTCACTCTCTCGCCTTTTCTCTCTCTCTCTCTCTCTCTCTCTCTCTTGCTTTTTCTCTCTGTCCCCACCACTCCCTTGTTAGCTCTCCCTCTCTCCCTCTCTTACTTTCTCTCACACTCCCTCCCCCCCCTTTTG